AAGTGAAATCAGTTAGATCGACAGCTGAGTCAGAGTAAGTAGAAATAGCTCTTAAAAAAAAAGTTCCGATAACATAAAGAGTTTATTAAGATTACAGTGAAAAGATCGAATAAATTGATGTGAGTAGGATTATTTGGATTTCGATTTGAGTAATCTGAAATTAAAGAAATTGTATATAATTATTGCATGAGTTGTATAAGAAATCAATTGTCCAAATGTAAGTAATTTTACATGAGAAATGACGAACAAAAATGAGCACATTAAAATTAAAGTAAGTTTCTAAGAGGTTTATGAATTTATCGGATTTTGGAGAACACTCATATCAATGTACGAATTATCTACAAAATAGACATCATTTGTGGTCCTTGAATCTTGGGTAGTTGTGATCATGAAGCAACTCGGTATAGCAGCGACAAGCATAAAAATTCAAGGCAGGAAAGTGTAGTAACTTAACAAGTGGATTTTAAATTATTCAATTTCAATGTATTTAATGTCGATATTTCATGAAAATTTATTTTTTTATTCTATTTTAATTTATTTTATATATTGTATTGCACTTAGATTTTTATTTTTTTTAAGTTTTGTTAACGTGTTACAAAAAGGTGTTAAAATTTTAAAATTTTATTAAATAAAAAATAAGCATTTATCAGTGTTATTCTTATTCTTTTAACATTGTTTTAAAGCATACATTAATAACAATCTTCATAATAATGATCAATTGAGGAATGTAACTTTAAAATCATTTGACAAAGCATTTGTTTCAATTATTTTGTTTTATGTTCAAAACGGTTAATGGCTAAAATTTTATTAACAAAAAATTTTAAAATTATTTTTACACCAAAATATATCAAATCCCAACATGCATGAAATACGTCAATTTTACTGTAATAATCAGTTAAGATTCTCAACATTAATAGAAAACTATTTTAGTTATATGTGTCAATTATGAGAAAAGCTTTTTATATTCCCTGTAATTCTAAAGGAACAGCAAGAGGTAAAGACCATTAAAATTAATGTATTATGACAAAAACTTATAATTTAAAACCAATTCAACCTTTAGATTTCAGAACTGCACACTAATACACTGTGCAATTATTTTCAATTCCAAAGAATTTCTAACTTGTCATATATGTTGTGTTTGTATGTTGTATTTTTGTGCTTTTAATTTTTGTTGACAATTTTTTTAATAATAATAACAACAAACTAAATCATTGAATTAAATATTATAAAATATGGATAATGGAATAATATTTTATTCAAGCTTAAGGACCGACGAATTGAATTAGAGACGTTCTTGACAGCCATCATTAATAGTAGAAATCCTTAACTATCAATAAATGATCTTTTACTTTGTTACATAATTAACAAAAGAAATATTATATTAAATTTTATAATTTTTTAGTGAAATAAATTTTATTATTATTATAAAATACTTTTTGTATAAACTACTTTTTTTGATTCATCTAAACAAATAAAATATTTGTTTATTTTTTATTCCTATTTATTCAAATCATACATCTTTAAGCCCTGAGAGGTGCATTTAATGCAATACCACAGAAAGCAATGAGCTACACTGAGTTTGGTAAATTGTGTGTTTGGTCACACTTCTCATGAAATTAAATTTCTCGGAAAATGAGGTTATCATTGTCATTGTAAGGTCATTATCTCACTAAATACCCAACAAACATTGATTATGGTCTTAAAGTTAGCATTCCGGATTGGTATCCCCAATGCTCTTAGACAAGTTCAAACCTGCAGTGTGTCTGTTTATTGGTCTACACCTGCTGGGAGAGGAAAAAAAAGGAAAAAAAACGGTTTAGTTAGAGTTGTTCTTAGGCAACTATCAAAGTTTTTTTAATTGTATAAAAGTATGAAAATTATTTTTTTAATAATTTTTTAGTTAAAATCAATATTAAAAATTGTTAATATTGGTCATTAAAATTGATATAAATACTTTAAAATAGTATTATTTTATTAGAAAATATTTTTATATGAACAATATTAAAACATAATAATGTTCATATATTCCTAAAACAAATTAGAAAAAGAGAGGAGTAATCTTAATTAGATCTTTACTTACACGAGTCCCTAACAATAACACCAAGGAGTTGTATAATTTTTATTTCCTAGTTTTTGATAACTAATCAATATTTTTTTAACTGTAAAACGATATATAAATATTGGAATGAGTAATTAATTGGTTTAAGGTCAATGATGTTGGAGAAATGTTTTAAACTTCCATGATCTTGTCTTAGGTTAACCTACTGCGTTTAATTATTCGAGTTAACAATTCAATTATCAGCTAAAAAACTGACATAAAGTATAAAAATTTGTGCCTGCTTCACTGGATGGTAGAAGCTACTATGCTGAAAACCTAGATTTAATTGGTTTGCTGTGAAATGGAAAATTGTTTAGAAGCTTCGGTAGACAAGAATCATAGGCGAGGAATCTATGCTTAATTGTTAACTAGCTTCTTTTTTCGGTCTTTGTAAAGTGTTTTACGTCAAAACAAAGCAAGCTCAGGAAACCCATAAATGGCCATGAGAGTTTGGAGTTAGCAACTTATTACTACTATATATTAGTTAGTAACCAATTACTAGGGACAGGTTTGACTCCTTAAGACTGGTCCCAGCCTTTCTCATTATCTGGGTCTAAGACTTGGGTTTTCTTTGTCTCATTTCGGTGATAAGAGAAGATATTCAGAATCTCAATTAAACATCTCAAACATTTGTTTATAATATAAACATGTTGTGATCGAGGTATATAAAAGCGGCCACTTTTCTTTTAACATTTCGAAATTGGAGTGCATTTGACTTCAAAAAGATGCCCAACAAAGCACACCAAAACCATGTATGTACCCAAAAATAAAATCATATATACACGCGTACTATATCTATCCATGTGTGTGTATATTGAATGTCATTATGAGGTTTCGAAGTGACATTTCACTGAATAATAGCAACAGCATATACGTAGAGTAATTTGTTAGTTCACAGCAAGCTATGTCATTGTTACGAGTTCCAGCTCTAAAATCTACTCCATACCCTTTTCCTTCCCCACCCCTCCCAACCCTCAAACAAACACACCTACAAGAACCGTATTTGTAAGGATGCAAAGAATGAAGTGACCTAAAGTATTTGTTAAGATTCATTTAATTAGATTTTTAATAAATTTTAACAATTCAAAACATAATATATATATATATATATATATATATATATATATTATATTGTATAATAATAAAAATTAATTTTTTATTCTTAGTTCTCAATTAATATCTTTGAGACATTAGTTACAATGAATATTTCATAACGAATAAAATCTGGTTAAATTTTTTTCTTATATTTCTTTAGTTTTTCTTTTTCTCAATAGTCTATTTTTTAGTTACAAGAAAACAAACACAATGAAGACTGGTGACTTGGTTGCGATACCAGATGCCTACTTCAGAAGTCCAACACATTTTCCCTTTACCATATCGAGGAATCGACAAAAGATTTTTCATTTGTTATGATGGATTCCTTAGGGACGATATATTAAGAGAGTGATTTCTTGACATTCTCTTCAGCCTCGTCATGTCACCTCTCTTGTTTTATTTTCCAACGACCACTAGTATTCTTGAAATTGAGTGAACGATTTAGTTCTTTTGTGCTATTAGGTGGTTCATCAGGGATAAGATGTCCTACCAAGTTGCAGCCAAGAAAAATAACAAAGAAAACATTGTGAGGATATAAAATTTTCAAACACAGCTTGAATTTGAACATTTGTTTTAGCCATTGCAATTTGCAAAGCTGAATGGCAGTTTTTTGTACCCTTTCGGAATCTTGCTGCAGGCAGCTAATACATATTAGATTCGAAAACACGAATTACATTCCAAAATTTAAACAGCACATAATACAAGAGCCATATAGAGACAGTGTTTTCCAACACAAGCATATGATATATAGATAAACCTATGTATGTATGTGTTTATATTCTCAGTTTCTCTGGCCAAAGACCATGATAATGCTGCTTGGTGCAGGCAAAAAGGATATGAGTTCAGCAGGACCACGCCAAAATTCTGCGCTGGATTTGTACCCATCATTTGATAATGACTGCCTAATTCAAAAACTAACGGCTCTGATCTTCCTCACCATGTCAGCTCTGATGAACCCAAGTGCAACCTATACACGTGTATTTACGGGTTGCACTTGATTACGGTGTTTTCAGCCATATTATACTTATTTTCTACCAAGTCATACACGTTAATTAGACGTATGTTTTTCTTTTCAGAAATATTAATCAATGTCGTTAAAATATCATTTGAGAAAATAAAATTAAAAAAATCACCGATAAATGTCATTAGGTAATTTTGGCACAATTTTTTAATCAACGATATTTTTCTTGATAATTACGACAATATTGAATATTTACTGTTTTATTAAAATAAAAGTATTATTTTAATTAATAAACAATATTATAAGTACTTTTAAAAAACTGATTTTTTTTCTATAAAATAATTGTTAATAACAGTTTGTATAAAAATTACAAAAAACATTTAATAGATAAATTAAAATTTCTTAACTAACGTCCTTGATACGTCCACAGAATAATTTAAGAGGATGATCCTGTTTTTTTCACATTAATTTATACACAAGGACACATCAATAATTTTCAATACAAACAAACTTAAAATGCAATGGGTTTAAATATAAAATATGTTTTTTGGTGCCCGTAACTTGTCTCCACTTAGAATCACTTTTGCCAAATTTAATTATTTGCAGTTTTCATTCACAACAAGTTACCCGCATGGAACTCTGTATGTCACAAATTTATAAGATGACGTTGAAGTTAAGCAAAAGCACTAACTAACCAGCTAACCTGTTTTCTTTCACTGAGTTCAAACATCGTACATTTATTAATTACTATAAACAACGTTAAGTTTGCTGAATGAAACTATGTTCAGATTAAGAAAGGAAGAGGGACTGTCTATCTCAATGAAAGCAATAGAGGATTTGGTGTCATTTAGCCACATATACATAGATCGACAAGAGATAATGACTTTACAAAAATAGTAAGCATAGCATAATTAAGACAAATATAGGAACTTCCTCACCTTGTCTTCCCATATAGTAAAGGAAACAAAAATCGACAACCTATCTCCATTTCCCTTCACACGGTTGCATTTGTTCCACACGTGTGAACTCCATAAGATAGGGAAAGCCGTGGAAGCCATGGAAGCCATGAAACAAAAAAAATGTGACTAATTATTAACTACTAGGTAGTATACATAAAAATACAGTTAAACAAAATATTTAATTAATTGAAACCGAAGAAGATGAAGCCTCATCTTCCCTAACTCGTTCTAACAACAAAGAAGAACTAGGAGTAGCTATATCAACCTCTACCTCAGCTTCCAAACAAGACACACAACGAGTGCTGCAAGAGGAAGAAAGAGAAGAACTATAAAAAGATAAAGGGGAAGAAGGAGAATGGGAATCAGAAGAAGACAGTGAGGAAGAAGAAGAAGCGACCAATAAGTCAACGAAAGCGCCAACAATATAACCATGGTTGCTTTTACCGTTGACCCTCAAATACCAACACAAAAGCTCTTGAAGACCCTCCCAATCCTTAACACATTTAGCCGCCACCATCTCCTCCATGGACTTTCGAAAATCCACGTAAGGGTCTTGAGATTCCATGGACAACACCACGCTGTCTTTGAAGGGTAAGGTTCGTGCTTTAGCTTCCAATATAGAACTAGTCTCATCTAGCTCGAAGAACAAACGGTCAGAACGCAAGCCACGAATCACTGAATCTTCATATGAGGCGGTGGAGAAGCTGGCAGAGTCAGGAGAGACAGTGAAGAAGGAGTGAGAGGTCTCTAACATGTCCATGGTGGCATCTAAGAGTGCTGCGTTAATGGTGTTGAATGTGGTGTCATTGGTGTTGGCTCTGAAGGAGAGTGTTTTTGGTTGGTGACAAGAAGGCCAAGGCCATGATGAAGAAGGTTTGTTGTGTTGTGTGTTTTTGAGAAGAGAAGGAAGTTTCATTTTCTTGGCCATTGTGGGGAAGGTGGGGATGTGGAAATGAAGTGAAATGAAATGAAGATTCAAATGAATATTCGAACAGAAATGAGAGTTAATTTCCAATATTGGGGGCATTAATGGCAAGTCAGATGTGGTTCCTGGCTGTGGGGGGAAGATTTTAAAGGAGCGGTGGGTCAATTTCTATTGCTGCTTCCATGGGGTCACCTCACTCTATCTTCTTATTCAATTTTTTACAAATCAATGTTTTTGCACTCTAATTTATTGCTTTATCCTCCTCCTCTTCTTATATTTTAATCAACAGTTCTTTTAGTTTTTTACCACTCTGCTTTTTATATTCTTTTTATCAAATTAATACCTTATTCTTAACAAGTTTATTATATCAGTCTTTATAAATGATTGTAATTTTCTAAACCCTTAATGGAAAAATAGCTTTATTAATAACAACTCTTAAGAATATAAAATTAATATTTTTTATTAAAAATATATTTACTATTGTTTGTAATTTTAATATATTAAATACCTTTTTAATAATTTTAATTAGTTAAAATTAATATAAAAAAATATTTATGTTAACATTTTATAAAAAAGTATTCATTAAATTCCTCCTTCTCCCTGTCAACAGAATATTTGAAAGTATCATTAATGACAACATCTAATGCAAACCAACACACACATGTAAATCAAACGGTTCAATAACCGATATAATTTGCGCGGGAAGGAGGATTCCGTGTTTACATGAAATTCACGTGATAAGTTTTTGTGAAAACCTGTCCTCATTTCTCCTTCAACAAAGATTAAATAAAAAATCGAACAAGACATTTTTGGACATACAATTTTAAATCTATTAATAAAATATCATTAATATATATATATATATATTTAATTTAGTGAATTTTATATTCTTAACAAATTATAATCTATTTAGTGTGCTAAAAAATCATTTTAAATAAATAAGAAAATATCAAAATTTATAAAATTATATTTTAAAAAATACAAAAACACAATTTTGATCATATAAAAATTTAATATGAGAATACTTATTTTTTATGAATTCTAGTGCACTCTTTGCCGTCATAATAATTGAAGGCGCTAATATTTTTAACGTAATATTTTACATCTTTTTTACTTGTTAATTTCTTAACTTGTATTCTAAGCAAGAGTCTTACTATTGTATGGTTAAAAAGCTTAGAAAATTTCTCAATATTCATTGACTTAACTCGCATCATTCGTGCAAAACAAATATATACAAGTATTTCTTACATTGGGAGCTAATGCAAGTGCTATCTCTCCCCATGAAACACTTTCGCCTCCGAAAATTCACCATTCCTCTCGTCACCCAAACAACAGAGTAAGGAAAAAAAAAGTTTGGGTAAATGATAATTTTAATGATCCAAATATGTACGCAATATCAATTCATCCACTCTAAAATAATTTAGTTTCTTAACTATAAAAAAATTTTATAGTTAGTTCTCATCGTACGTGGATTGAAATGAGAAAAGATATTTAGAGGCAGTAAGATGTTACTTTTGAGAGAAAGGTAAACGAATAAAAAAGTAAGTGGTTCGTAAATAAGAGTTGTAACACACGAGAGGTATGTGGGGAAACATAGCGTTGTGTAACTTGTTATGATAGAGCTCTCTTCACGTGCCTCATGAAAAAGGTCCAAAGTATAGATGGAGACCCTTAAAGGGAAAGTCACAGAACTGGAAATAGATTAGCTGATTGATACTCAACTAGCTATTAGATATTAAAAGGTTTCGCCATAGGCCTCTCATAATCTTTGTTGTTTCTTTCCTTGTCTCATTTAATAGGGCTTTTTAGTGTGTCCAAAACCTCCAAACTTGCTCACAATCAAAATTGTTGAAGTTAAATTTTTAGTTGATCTATAGTCAATTCAAGTCTAGTATGTTTATGGGGTTGACCCATGCATGCCAATTCGACGTGGTTAAACGGTAATGAACATGGGTTTAATGCTATATTACCATTTCTCTGGACAATTAAACGCGTGATGAATGTACTTGGGCCATGAAAGAAGGGGACCTGTTCTTTTTCCAATTTCAGCATGACAGGACATGAATCATATTATTCTTGTGGAATCCTATCTGCATTGCAATGAAACAGAAGTACAAAGCGAAATATATGCATTTCACAGTCCCCACCACTTGGCAAAACTTTTATGGATACCAATATTAATTTGCAATTTGTAGGATCAATTTTGAGGGCTTATATTTTTTCCTACTTTTAGTTATTCAATTCTAGAATTTGAAACTTCACCAAAACTCATCCTAATCAAAATTTCTTATTCGTTCACACCCCCCCCCCCCCTCCCCTTTTGTAGTTGTTGAAATGGGTTTCAATTATATAATTAATCTCATTCAGATCTCAATTCAAACTGAGATGAATGTTAGCCAATACGGAGTTTAAGTTCTAAACTATTTCAACCACGATGGAGGTAATGTCTCCGAACTAATATTAATTGTGGACTCACTTCTTTAATATTAACTTTTAATTATTTTGTCATAACTTAAGAGAAATTAATTTGGAAAATGAGAAACTCGTTGTTAGCATGAGGTTATGCTTCCTTTTTTCAGTATTTGTATGGAGCTTAGTTTCTTGAAGTCAATTTCAATTAGAAAACCTGCTGCTGCTGTTATTTGGAGCGAGTTTATTTTAGCTCAATCCAACATCACATCGGTTCTTAGATGTAAATTGTTGCGCTCCTTGACAGTGTGATGATCGCCTAGGTTGAAAGGCATGGTCCAATCATTCATTTTTCTTCTAGGTGACAATGTAAATTATTTTTGTTTTTACTTTTAACCAGATTCTGTCTTTCTTTGCTTCGACACGATGGGACACGTGCCAACCCTTTTTATTTTGTACTAATAATTTTTGGCTGTTGTTTTCCAAAATGCACATTTGGGTTTGATCAGTGGAAATGAAGATATAACTTATTGGAAAATAGAAATGCCATCGTGATGTGCTTTGGATCCAAATTCAATAGGTTCATGATATTGAGATTCAGCCATCAAATAGTGCTTAAATAAAGCTCGTTTTTTATAGTTCATAAGTTGCATATGACTTCATGAATATGTGGTATTCTGCCAATTGCTAGTTTGAATACGACATTCTACTCATTACAGATTTTGAAATTTGCATTGTTGATCTTGAAACTCATGGACATTGGTCGATTATTTGAAGACATGGAATTTGTTTTATCTTTCGCGTGCGTTCTCATTTTCATATTTGACGAAGCCTAATATGAATATTGTTTTGCTTCTACCAAGAGATTAAGCTTGTGTTGTATCAAAGTTCCTATGTAACACGATGAATTCAGACAACAAAAAAATCAAAATTACAAGAAACTCGAGACGTTTGCAATCTCTACTTGGGACAGTAAACCACAACATAGTTATTTTTGCTTCCAACAAGAAGCATGAAGAAACTAGCACAGTTGACGCTTCAAGAGAGTTTTTTAAATTGGGATCTACTAGGAAGAGATAAAGAGAGAAACTGCTTGCACAAATCCATTTTTGTATATGGGTGCATATCAACCGCAAATAGCTCCATTTGACTTTTTCAACATTAAATTTATAGATAAAGATTCTCCAAAATACCAATTTATTTTAAAGAGTAAAATTCAAGTCAATCACAATGCAAAAACCAATATTAAGACGTGTGTGTGTGTGGGGGGGGGGGGGGGGGTGTGGGGTGGAATTAAGCACTCATATGATAACATGAATTTGTTAAGTTCACTCTTAATCATTTTTCATCATTAATTTGGACACTCAGCAGATTTATCGCCATTTAGATGAACCTAGTGCCCTATATAGCTTCCACAATGTGCGAAAAGAGATTCCCACCGTAATGATAAGTCGCGGACAATTGTACACCAAAGCTACGCTATAGCTTAGGGCCTATATGTTTTATCGTTCGGTTGAATTAATTTTAACGAAATTAATTTTAAATCATTAAATATACTTGAAATGTATTCAAATCAATCACAAGTATAAATTTACACTAATTTAACGAAATTATTTTTCGTATGCCTGGGCTTTATATGTTATTACCATTTCCACTGTAATCTTGCGAGTGCATCTACTTACACACATTGTTTATCTCGGGTCCGCTGAATAAACTGCACGCAATTTAAAAACTGCCAATATCGCATTTATTATTGCAAATAAATTTCGTACAAATTGTTTGTTGTATTATTTTCTGAAGTATTAGATGTCACATCAGAGGAACCATCCGTGCCAGACCCCCTCCATTATCCATATTTTTATTTTAATCCACTTGGCAACGCAGTTCTAAGAATTTGTATCTTTACAACAACGGGAGACGGTGAAAAATTCCCAAGCGACCTCAACACATGGTCGGGGCGTGCCAAAACAGATAATATAGGGGGAATCGGAGGTGGACCACATCCAACTGGACGGAGCAACGGCCGTTGATATTGAACACAGCCACGGTTCATGGACCATGATGATTGTGGAATGCTGGATTATGACATGCTTGACCCACACTGAAAGTGACATGCTAACGTACATTTTCAAAGAACATTCATAATTCCTAAAAGAATACATGTCTGCAGTCATGCATCCGACGCAATTCAGTAGCAAATCAAAATCGACCCATTAGGAAATTCAATCATGCTGTGGCCGGTATTACAATCCCAATCGCTAAGACAGACAAGGCTCCTCAAGTTCATACAAGTGCAACTTTGCCAAATTGAAGCAAAACTCCTAGAAACCCACAGATACAAAACTTGGTCATGAGCACAATAAAGTCGATACCAGTTAATATATAAACCTGCTGGTCCTCGAACATTACACTAATAAAATATAAAAACTCTTTTCGATTAGCCACATTCCATCTAAGTTTCAAGGGCATTGATTATCTATCCATATTAATCATTCACCGATTCATGCCATGATGAATAGTGCCCAGATGGACTAAAAACTTCTCAAGATATCATCGAACCGTTTCAGTTCAGTAGTTTATCTCAAACTTTCATGATTGATTTAACATATAAGTTATGAAGCCGTTTGACCATTCCAAAGATACCAGAATAGCAGCAATGGTAAACATTAGAAAAAGCAATCTAGTACCAGTTCCTAGTTAGAATAACACACAAGAAAATATGATGGGTAAGGAAAGTCATTAATTTTCAACTAGGGACAGTTTGAGACACTATTTTTTGTTTTTATTTTCAGTTTTCACTTCTAATTACAAAAATGTCTCATTATTTTCATTTTATTTTCTATTTTCAAAAAACTGTATAAGAAACAGTGAAAACGACTTCAGAAGTAAAAACAAAAAACATTTTCTTAAACCAAGCAGCCCTTGAATACTCATATAAATATCAAAGGACAACAGTGCTTCTAGTTTACGTCTCACACCAACTGTATAAGAACCATATTTTCATTCAGCAAGCAAGACAATAAAACAGTTTGTGGTAAATCTTAGCTCTTCCAAACTTCTGAATCCAACAGCAAAACTATTCCTGTGCTATCACATTGGGTCAAAGACAATACAATAAGTGGTCAGAAATATTTTCACTACTAGCAAGTAGGAAGCAAAAGACGTTAAAAAAATTACATTATGGATAAAACAAATTCACTGGTGACTTCTCACTTTTCAGTGCTTTTCCTTTGAGCTTTAACAAAACAATGAGAAAAAAGAGAAGCAATAATTTAATTGACAATGAATCACAATAACAAAATTGGAGGAACTAAGAAGGATTTTTAACACAGGATCCTATAAAGTCATGTCCAAACTTCATTTGTAATAAGTAACTCTCAAAAGAAAGCTCAAATAGTAGACATGTAAAGCTTCCCAGCCCAGCTAAAAGGAAACATACATTAAAAAGACCCAACACAGTTTCCAAAACAATCTTTTGTAACTTACAAAATGCATTTTCTGCAACAAATACATATTTGCATCCACTCAATTGAACTCATCGACAATGCATTTTCAGTTATCAGCAGTTAACAGGTATTGGCATCCACTCAACTAATGTCACAAATGGAACTAAGGTCTGCATTATGTATTTTAAATACTTCCCTCACCTTCTTTCCCTTTTCCTTCATTGGAGTAGAGGATAATTATCAAATTAATCTTTATTATAAAACAGCTTAAATTTAAGATATAAGAGCTCTTAAAAGGAAAAATGAAGCAAATAAATGAAACTTATAATTTCAGGAATTCTAACAAAAAATTTGCTGTAATATCATGCCTAGCAAACAAAGCCCTCAGCAGTCTACATGGGAAAACCTAAAGAGAGACTAAACAACCTTGAATGTAAATGAAGGCATAAAGAGATGCCTAGGCCATCCTCTCTCGTAGCAATCAAACCACCTATTCATAATTGCTTTGCAAATCCTGTTGTGGAAGGTAAAAAAAATTATACCATGCAATATAGCCAGCCACATTACCTCAGGCAATATGCCACTCCAGCTCCAGGTGTGCTCCCTGAGCTAAGAGTAACCAGAAATATTTCAAATTCTTAATATCTATGTACAAAAGCTGATCATAAAACACTACACACATTAATATTGAAAAAAAAGGAAAATCAACATACACATAAAACCCCACATCATCTAAAAGAACAATGACCACATACCTACTCAAATAACATGTGAAACAAAAACCCTGGATTAATTCCCATGAGCAGTCCACATCCCTTGGATTATATAATTTAAATCCTAACTAGTGAATCAAATTTGACAAAAACCCATTAGCACATTTCTTGACTACGGACCATACCCAATAACTCATTCTCCAACTACCCTCCTAAAATATAAAAAAGCTGAAACACTGCCATAACCCTTAAAAACAAATGAAGCAAAGAAATCAAAGCCAAGTTAAAAGCATAATGCTCGTGACATTGGCAGATACTATCTAATCAAATATTTGTTCATTCATCAGCCAATTCACCTTAGAAGTTAGGTATATTAAGTTTGCAAAAATGTTTTCAATTTCCATTTTCTATATTAATGATTACAAAAAAGCCACATCAATTCCAGCTTGTTTTGTTATTTCGAAAATAGGTAGAGTAACAATGGAGTATTTTGCAATTTCACTGTTTTCTGCGAAAATATTTGAGGGGAGGAAAAAAGGGGGCAACCATGTACACAAGGCTCCCCACCTTGTGGGGTTTCAGGAGAGTAAATGTAAGTAGCCTTACCCCTGCAAGCAAAGAAACTGTTTCCAGGATTCAAACCCATAAACCCACCCTCAATTTTTTGAGAACAGGAAACAAAATAAAAAAGGTAACATTTTTTGTAATTATTGATAGATAAAAATTGTTTCCACAAACCAAGTGCACCCTAATACTTAATGTGTTTATATACCTTGCCAACAGCACTTTCTCATAGTATAGCAGTTGAACATATAAAACACAGACAGCTAAGATATTTCCAGTTTCCAACCAATATCAAAGGAGAATGGAACATATATACCTAGTAGTCTTGATATCATTCTCCTGTAAGTGGAAGTCTGGATAAGGAGAATAAATTGAATCTATCAGATCACCAAATGTCTATTTACAAGAGCTTTCAAAATTATATGTAACAATTTATTCCACAGCCTCCTCTTTTCATTTGTTTCAATTAAAGTTGGATGCTATAATAATACTGACTAGGGGGGAGATGAAAAAATTTTCCTCTGTTCAGATCCTGTAAACACTACCTAACTTCTTACTCAATGTATTAACACACTCACAGTGAACAAACGCACTGCCTCATCCTGCCTTACACTCGTTAAGATGAGATGCTGAATATAAGCCAAAACCCAAAGAATTAATAATTCCTAATGACATTGAAAAGGCATAATGTATACACTTTACACTAATATTGTAAAAACAAACCTAAAAGAAAGCGATATTTTGATTCCATTAAAAATCAGAAAACTTCCAAACCATACAAGACACCAGCATATTGGACGAACCCATCAGCTTTACCAAAGAAAAGCTCTCTGATATTCTGAAAAGCGTGCAGAGTAAGCAAGCTATCTGAACCGGCTTGGTGACTCTTCCCAATAACACGTTCCACTTTCAGGGACTGGCAAACACGGTCCAAACCACCATGCAGGTTCGAGCAGAATCTCATCAAGTGCTTCACATCGAAAACCCTATTTCCGAAAAACACCCTCACGAGACGGAGAAACTCCGACAACTTATCCGGCAACGCGCGCTGAGTCAGAAGCTTCACCAGATAGCCAAAATCGTAGGCGCTGTGGAACGTGACCCAGCTAACGGCGTCGTCGCAGACCAAACCGGACGACATCATGAGTTCGGCGAACCGGACCGAGTCGATCCCGAACTCGCGATTCTTCTCAAAGTCGATGCCCTGGCGTCGGAGAAGCTCAACAGAGTCATGCGCGTGGGCGTCACGCGCGACGTCGAAGTCTCGGAAGTTGAATTCCCAAATAAAGGAGTTTTGGGTGCCGAGGGTGGGAAGGTTTCCTCTGTGATCGGAGAGAGTGAGGCCGATCTGGATCAGGTGGAGGCGGTCGACGTTGGCTTTGAGTACGGCATAGTGAGCCATGGGGTGGCGGTGTTGGAAGGACGGGTCGCCGGCGTCGGGGCGAATGACGACACCGGGGAACTCGGTGTCCATGGAGATAAGAGGGAAGGAATCGATGACGGATCTGATCAACTTGAACTCCGATTCGAGATTGGAGGACCACACTGATCGGGTGAGGATGGCTCCATGGGACTGTGGCATGGCTTTGGGGGTTTTGCTTTGCAGTTTCGGATTCGGTTCTTTGTTAGATCACTTCGGTAAATTTATAAGGGCACGACTTAGGGTTTGGATGAAGAAATCAAACGAAGAAAAAAGATGCGCAGTTGAAGATGGAACGCCAGTGTTCTCACAACATTTTATTTTTATACACAAATGCTATCATGGAAAAGGTTCTTTCTTCTCCTCGTTCGCCTTTTTTTTTTCTTTTTCTTTTTCTTTTTTGGTTGTAATAATGATGAAAAATAATAGTAATAAGAATGCGGGAATAATTGCCATTTGATTTGGATTTTTAAAGCTGGGTAGGTTAAAAATTTACTTTACGTAAAGAGAGACACTGTGATCAAATTTGACATATTGGTTATCTCAATCACTCAATCTATTAAGTAGATATTATATTTTTTATAAAATTAGTTAATGATATTAGGAAATCAAATGGATCGAATTTCTAAATTATAAGAATTTCTATCTTTTCAGGTTCCTGATGTAATTGTTCACTTATCATAGATCTATAATCTATTTGATTTAGATTTCAATATAATTGATTTCCCATTTTCACTTTATAAGTTGATGAGCCTTGATTTAGTCCACTTAAATTATATCATATTATATTGGTCATTTAAAAAATTTTAATCATCAAACTAGAATCTCAAATATTTTATTAAGATGTAATTATATTATTTATTGTGAAAAACTAAATTACTAATAAAAAAGGCAAAACTTAAATACAAGTTTATTAAGCATTTTTAGTACTATTTTGTGATTAGAAATAAATATTTATCTTAATAAAAAGTATATATTTAATATTTCACAAGTTTTCAAATTGACTATTTAAATAATAATAATAAATTTATTTCGGTAACAAAAAATTATTCCTTTACTAAATCTTTGAATGACTAAAGTGATAATCAAAGAATATTTAAGTAATTATTTCGGCAACAAATTTTTTTTATGAACTAATTTTGTAACCCGTATAAATTTAGAGACTGAAATAACAGTTTTACCATTTTTTAGTTTAAATGGTTATTTTCAAATGTGAAGGTATTCTTTTATTTTATTTTTTACTTATACATGACTTTATCATCGCTTATAATTATATTTTTATCTTAAATTATTAATCAATTTCAAATTTTCTTTCTCCATTAAAATGACACTTTTTCTGAAACTTAACATTTTCAATTCGATTGCTTTAAAAAATTTCCTTTTATATTAACTTTTATTTTAATACTAAACTCATTTATTTTTTAATGATTGAAAAATAGTCATATTATCTTATACATAACTTTTTATAATTTATTTTTCTCAACTTTTTATAATTTATTTCTCTCTTCTATTAACTATTATTATCTTTATTAATTGTAAAAAGAAATTGTACAAAAATGTTATACAAATAAATGCTACACTTGTTGTTACAAAGACGACGCCTAATGTATATATATGTGTTATACAAAAAAGATGTTAGTCTGGTCAACTAAAAATAACATAAAATTTAAACTAATTCAATCTAATCTAATTTGTTGCTATTTAAATTCGACCGATTATTTCATTTTTTTTTCTCTCAATTTGTATACAAGTGAGAATACTTTATTTTTTCCAACAAACAAAATCAATACATGAATGACGAACTCTTCTGGTGCATAATTTTTCATCAAAGGAATAATATTTAATAAAAAGTTAAATACATGATCAATACAAAATCTAATGTATATATACTTCTTCGGGCTGATGCCACGAATATATCATATTAAATATTGTAATTTTTTTTAATTTGTTTCTTCACTTTTCTCTACCAAAAAATCATAACTTAATATAAATTTTAAATGACAAGTCAAAATAATTTAAAATTTTTAAAAAATACAAATACCCATTCATAACAAATTTAACAACACAATGACTTAGGTTAACATTCATTTAAGGATATTATAAAAACTAATATAAATATATTTTGCTTAGAGTTGGATTTAGATTTAAATATAAGAAGAAAATTCAAATTTCACCAAAATATAAAATAAGTATGATTTTTTGGCTAACGGATTGTTGTTAGATCAATTTAATAATTTAAATGTAAATTGAAACGACAGATAACACTACAACTCAGCATAATTTATCAGACGATATCTTAAAAGGGATCTCCATTCCTTTGAAACACGATTTGCGCATTGATATTGATAGTAGCTTTTAACGTTTCAGGATGTGCCAGCCAATAGAAAAAATGTCAACAGTGCTAGGAACTAAGGAGGGTGCTATATGAAAATTGACAAATTTTTCTTCAAACATAGGACTTCCGGACTCAGATCTCAACCAATGCCATAATTGAATGATGTTAGAACCCCAAATGCACACGCAGAACTGAATAGTGTTAGAACCCTGAATGTGCAAGCACATGCACACACCTTCCCCAGCCAAAAAAATGCACACAAGGACACGGGGACACGCGCACACCCAAGGATACAGAATCACGATGGACCCAAACAGAAATGGAACGCGTAAAGCACCAAAGACAATGCACACATCCAAACAGCATTTGTCACTTTTTAATATAGCCTCACTCTAAATTAAAAGTCAGAAAGAAAGTGGACAAAAAGAAAGCAAGATCAAAATCGAAAGCATTGTTACAATTAGAAAAGAATACTACTTTAAGAGTAGCTTTCAATATTTGGCATCAATCAGAAAGCATCCGTTAAACACAGTTACAGTTGTCAACGTAAGACATCAAAACAACTCTAAAGCCATGGAGGCGAAGATGGAGCTCTTTCGGGCATTCCTCTATAATTCTTGAATATAGAAGGATCTACACAATATTAGATGCTATCTATTGCATACTGCATATGCAATATGATCCAGCATCCGTATGATCTTGGAGACTAGAAATAGGTACCTTCTGGAGGCTGGACAAGCTTGCGATTTTGAGAAGCCGCCATTTCCTTCTTCAGCTGGGTCAGTATATCCTCCATGGTAAACCCTCGTTGCCAATTTCCAAGAAGACCAAATTTCTTTGATTCAACCTGTTTCAGTTGCAAATCCTTAAATCTAAGTAAAAAAGGTAATTTATTATCAAGTATGCAAAATGTACAATTGATAGGAACTGAAAATATAGATGTGTGTATTGGGAAACTAGTTCCTGAATACAAAGGCAGACCTGTGAAAATATAGAACAAGTAAAGAAATAAATGATCAGGAAAAAGATAACAACGGGATTGCAAACACCAGAACACTTAATTCTTGCCTAACCTCTCAACCCCAACCCCTTTCTCCACAAAACACACATAATGATGCAGATCCCCCCTCACTCTCTCTCCCCTAGCCTGCCAATTGTCTAACTGCCTCTCCTTAATTGTCCTTGAGTATAGAAGTGACCCACCAAATTCCTGGGCCCATACAAGTTCAAACCATGCTTCCTCTTCAAATACATTTGGTGCAGAATCAGATCAAGCAACCCTGTATCTTTTTCATCAAAACAGAATAATATCAATGCATATATTCCTTTCTCAAACTCAGATCACTCTTGAATATATCCATATTTATTTCCAACACTGATTGAGAATAAATATGAAAAACACAGCAGTTAGCATTGTGCATATTCCACTCCCACCACAGCATCCACCAAATAGAAATATATAAAATAAAAAGCTGAAAGCATGTGAAAAATTATAAATATACCATACCACTCCAGTTTCATGATTAACACAAGCCATATTGATCCGTGAATGAAACCGAACACTTGGGGGCTTTTCTGGGTAGTCTTTATCACAAAACAGCTTCAACTGATAAATTCTTCCTTCATGCACAGTCTGACAGAAAAAGCACAATTACTGAGCCAGTAAAAGCTTGTTATTTACACAAAATAAAAATATAAGTACATTATCTGGAAAAGAGATACTAAGCGTAAATTTCCAGTTTTAAAGGGAGATGAGATGAAGCATTCATGCTTGAGATTTCTTCAAAAATGGTGCCAAGCGGCTAGATTAATGAAGTCAAGTAAAGATTCAGTAGACTATCGGAAGGCCATAAAAAGAAAAGCAAAACCACATCCATTATAACCATAAGATAAATTACAGGTAATAGTATTTCCATTTATAATTTTACTAGCTGTCAATATTATGCCCAGTGAAATTTTATTATGATGTAAGTGCACATGAATAAATTTATGGAAGTTTGTGCTCAGGTGCTCTAACACATTTCTTAAAACTGGACATGAACTTGGTGTACATACACTGAGCACAGAATTATGTTTAATCAAAACATGTAATATATGCTTGGTTGCTTGAGATTACCCAAAAGGAAGAACATCATTCTAGAATGCATAATTTCCACTATTGAAATGGTTCTTATAAATTTTAACTGCATGAAAATTTACTAGTTCAAATGAGATACTGGTCATTAAACATGCACATATATGAAAACAAATTCAAGGTAGTGACAGATAAATATTTACATTGCGGGGGCCAATAATGGTGCCAGTCCAAGAGCGCATGTAAATGTCATCACCATCGTCCATTCCATAGCTGACTGTGCCATCTCCAATTCCTTTTTCTCCCCTTTCAAGTTCCTCCAGCAATCTGAAGTTCCTTGGTACTGCATTAAAGTACAAATACTGTTAACAACATACTGATACACTTGTCACTGTATCCTCAATAAATGTCAAGAATAATTAGCTACATGTATAATAGTCATGATGTAAGGACTAAGGAGTTAAGGAGAGAAGGAAAAAAATAGTTAGCAACATTTGAAGCAGTTAGTTAGTTAGTTAAAGGGGCTAATTAGATATAAATAGGAAGATGGAAGGGAAGGGGGATCATTCTATTGGGTGTCAATGGCAAACTGAGTAATAGCTCTGTGTGAAAAAGGAAACCCTTATGGTATAGATTTCTCTCCTTTGTTCTGTCCAATTAATTCAATCAATAAAATATTTCTTTTCTTTGCCCATTTTTATTCTAGGTTCATAACGCATGACCACTTTAAAGTCCTAAACACAAAGACCACAGCCAGAGTAAGTATTCCATTTTGAACCATAATATCATTCTTCAAATGCTTAAAAGTCCTTTTCCAATAATTACAGGGAGATAAATATCCTCATCGTGCAGATTATACATGTCTTTATTCACGAGAAATCTTAATGCAGGAGCAGCACAAAAGAATATAACAAATAGTTGGTTTACCTTCATAATTTTAAGGTATTTTATCTAATTTTCATGGCTTCTGGTTATAGGCAGTATGTTATGTCAGTTTATGCTACTACTTAAGTCTTAAAGTGTTCCTCTATTATTCTAGTGTCATATTTGTAAATCCAAGGACTCCTAATGGGATTGTGTCAGTAGTAAGTATCAATAATTGCATTTTGAGAATGATTTTGAGCAAGTTGCACTCTAGCAAGTTGTGCCTAAGAATTCACTGGTTCTGTACTCCTTGGTAGATCCCTATCTAGGATCATATCTACATATAACTTCAAACTAGCATTATTATATCTAGGACCAAAATATTCATAATCATAGCATCGGTTGGCAACAAGAACCAACAGAGGAGCTAAGGGAGTTCTTTTATCCAATGGCAACGGTAGACGATGAATAATCATGCTTGGGAACAAAACCAAAAAGCGTGCTATCTTAAATATGCGCCCTCTTGTAGACTTAACCTTAAATACATTAAGTTTAAGAAATAACAGAGAACACAGTCATAACAATGACAATTAGAAACCGCCAAGGCACGTGTTCAAACAGCAGTAGGAATGGAATATGCATTTCAGAGAAGCATACAATGATCAACAGATATAACAACACAAAAAAGTGAATTAGATTAGAATTAGGGTACCCAAATACCAAACCAAACAAATATCATGCAAAATTTGCCATCAGAAGCTGCAATTGTAGATTGAAAATCCCACGGCGTTTCCATCATCAAAGTCACAACAGAAAAATAACGCAAGCAGCTTTTAACAAGTAACTACACATGTCAAGGCAACAAGTAACAAACAAAAAATATGCATATTCAGGAAAGAATTTTCGGTTGATGTGTAAAGCACTAACCGACGACACTGGATCCTGCAGAGGCGAGCGTCATGGATTTGTAGATGATGAATGTTTCGGATCTGATCAAAGTATCGAAATGTTTGAGAAAAAGGAGAATAGGTGTTGAGGAAAAGCAAATGTCGGGATAACAAGGAAAAGAGTGCAACGCCGATTTGGCCGAATGCGGAAGGGTAATAGGGTAATCGCACGTCATTCAATTCCGTGAGAGGACCAAACGCACCGTATTGGTCTCTTCTATGCGGTAAAATTATACTTTACCGCGTGATATTTACATGGATATGTCTATTTTAAGGTAAGTATAATCGTTGAGATTTTGATATTTTTAAAATCGTTATAAATATTTTAAAATTTTATCGTAATTTTGATAATTAAAATTTATAATTGTATTTTATCTTTTATTTTTTTTTTACTTTAGAAAAATACTTTTTAAAATAATCTTTCAAAAAATTTAATATTGTTAGAACCCCTGAAATTTTAGCCAAATAAAAATATAGTAAACTTCAAAATTTAGGTTGAATGACTTTTTTTTTTTCCTTTCCGACATAAGAACCCCCTTTAGGTTCTTCTGTTACGTGATTCGTCGTGGATATATTTAACCTCGCGTGTTCGTCTTTTAACGACCTTTTAATAGTTAATTTTTTTATAGACATATATACACTAAGTTAGAGTTGTGAATTTGTGTTATTCGATCTGGTTCATATTGAGTACCGAAGACATGTTAAAAAAATGTCTAAAATGATAGTTTAAGTTGGATTTTTTATAGGTAGGTCATTTGTTTTGCGATTTTTCACTTTTACAAACAATAATTTTAATATGCATAAGAAATTTTAAAAAGATCATAGACAATATTTTTAAGTATATTAAAATTGAAAATATTAAATATTTATCTAATAATTTCAAAATAAAATATATCACTAAATCACCCCATTCAACAAAAATAAATAAATAATTTAAGTAGCATTAAATATTTAAAATAAATAGTTTATTTAATCTCTCAATTATTTAAATATTATTAAAAAATATAGTATATTTAATTGCAATGACTTTATTTTCATTATTGTCAATTTTTATTATAATTTAAAATTAATAAATATTAATTATTATAGTTGGTAAAATAGGTTACAAGACTCGTCTAAATTAGCACGTTGCAGATATAAACTTTATTGATCCGAGTCAAAATGACCAAAATCTATTTCATGACTTATAAAAATGACGAACAAAATGAATAAAACTTGTTTTTTTTTTTTTTATAGTGATAGACTTGATTGAATTACACTTGAAAAAGTCTAAATATAATTTAAACTCCAAAATTAAAGTTTAAATTGTATATTATATTTGTACATTATAATATAAAATAAATAATAAATTTAAAATATTATAATCGTTTTATTTTTAAAATGTTTTTTTAATCAATCTATTTTGTTGACTCTACACGGATGGATGTAACAATCAAAACAAATTAGCCTAAAATAGTTTAATTTATAAAAATTAGAATTGATTATTTCTCAAATTCTAATTTTATGTTTAATTTCTTAGTTTGACATATGAAAATTTATAAAATTAAAATTAGAAATTTCAAAAAATTGTGTGAACTTCAAAATTTGTTTGAAATGCTACTGAGTTAAAGGTTTTTAAACTTGCATGCATCCTAAAGGAGGTTAAGTTATTAAATAAATTAATAACTACACAGTCTTAAAATATTAAAACAAAATTTTAATACAATAACGTATTGTTTAGATTTATTTAATAAGTTTAACTGTTAGGCTTACCTTTTTTTAATAATATAAATTTCATCATTTTAAATAGATTTTTTTAAATTAATCTGACTTATTTATGTAATAAATAAACTTTAATTGATTTGAATATAATATTATTAGGCATAGGTGCTTGATGAATATTCTAACCTATTTTCACTTTTTGACGAAAGTAAAGGTTATCAACAATAAAATAAGTTATATATATACTGCAAATTGATACTAAATGTTATATTTATTAAATATAATTATAACTATCTTGAATGATCTATTAAATGTTAGGTAGTTAATAATAATATATTTATTAGGTATATGGCATTTTATATTATTTAATTTAATTTTAAAAATATTACTAAATTAATTAATTATTATAATTTAAAATCTAAACATATAGGCAGAAAATTTATGATTATTTAGAATAATTTTATTTTATAAAAAATTTAAAATAAATAGTTAAACTAATTTTTTATAATACATGTACAATTGATAACCATTTATTATAGTTTATGAAAAAAAAAAATTGGAAAACTTTGTAAAATTGTTTAAAGAATTGTTGGCTCCAGGGTGAAAAAAATACACCTTGCTCAACAAATATATAAGTATAAGTAAAATTCAGTGTAAATTGGTATTAAATGTTATAATTATCTTAAATGATATATCATGAATTATAATGTATTTATAAGTACATAAATTTTATAATATTACATTTATTAAAAAATTTCTAAATAAAAATATTACAATTTTAATATCTATAAATATATGCTAAAAAATTTATTATTATTTATAATAAATTTATTTTATAAACATATTTTAAAATAGAAAAGTTAAATCGGTATTCATATAATACATGGACAAATAATAAACATTTATTATAATTTATAAAAACTTAATTTGGAAAACTTGGCAAAATTTTATAAAAAATTGTTGTCTGTAGGGCGAAATAGAACAAAGCGCACCTCAATGTTGAACCGAATAGTATAATCTAAAATAACATGAACAAATTAATTAATAATATTATATATACGTTATTATGCATAATTATAAAAATAATTATGTTGATAAATTATATTGAAAAAATTATAAAAATAATATAAACTATTTTGATAAAGTGTATGAAAACCTTTTCAAAAACTAAATTCACGAGAACTGGCAGAGTGAAAGGCCACTTCAATATCACTTTGAGCTTCTCCACTTTCAGTAAGCCCGGTAATCACTGCATTGTCTGATACATTTTCTAAATCCTGTATATGCCTTCTGATTAAGGTTTTTAATTACACTGTTGCCTCTTTTTGTGCTTTACGTGTTTGACGAAATTCCTCTTTCAATAATTTAATAAAAGAACACTGAAATACCCTCAAATTTTCTGTTCTCTCCCATCACTTTTCCCTATTATGCGTCTCATTTAGTTTGGAGCTAACATGAAAAACAACTTTTCATCGGGATATTTAATAAAAGTTACATGTTTGGCTTTGCTGAAGAGAAAACACGTTGTTTCACTTGTATATATAGAGAGTACATGCTTGAGAACTCTGTTCACTTACTATTACTATATATGTTGCTGTTGGACACTTTTTTGTTGAACATTCTTTGTGTCCGGAGGGAATAAATTACCAAATGATTTAAGCTAAACGAGGAATTAATTGTATTTTATGTAGTGGAATTAATGCATGTGTAGCTAACCTGAATCTGCATGGACTGCATGATGTATTGGCAACCAAGTAAACTGTAGAGCTTTTTATTCCTTCCGTAGAATTGGACATTGAAATCTTCAGCTGAAAGCGTAGACTGTGGCTATGTGGTATTTGAGCCTTCAGAGGACTATATTAAGGTAGAAGTATTTGTGGGGAGTCACTGACGCTTACATGGTCCACTAAACAGTCTAGACATTTCAATGTGCTAGGGTAGTAGAACCTACGAGCAAGCAACTTGCAAGGATTTCTGACAGACTAGGTAAAATGAATTTCAATAATAAGATTAGGCCATGACGTACGGCTAGTATTATTAGGTTAAAGTAAGTTATTCATCGAAGTTTCACACAAATTAACTTTAAAAAGTAAAAAAAAATTATTAAAAAAATCATTTTATATTTACTCAATATACCTAGTACAACTACATGTAATCCTTTAGATATAAAATTATGTTATGAATTTATGGATGTAAGTAAGAAGTGTCATTTCGTCCAATTTTTTTCTTTCTTTTTTTATGCAGTTGATGTTCCAAGATAAAGAATCCATAGTACTCATTCCTCTCTTTCTTACCCAACATTTCAGAATATTGTTGAAATATTATATGAGGGTGCAAATTTTGGGTACAGGTCAATTTTGCCTTTTTAAAGAATGTTTTTCTAATACATAGCTTTGGCCTCATAATAAAAAATAAATAATAAATTTATAATAAAATTACAATATATAATATTATCAATACATTTAATTTTATATTTTTAATAAAAATTTGACATATATATATATATATATATTATGAGCCTTGGACATATATAAAAAATGAAAAAAAAATAGAAATATACTTTTTTTTCCCTTGCGCATGATAGCCAAGTGTCTGTCCTATCTTGAACGATCACGCCAAGGAATTTATGTTATTTTAAACTATGCATTTATTGGATATGCCTCTGTATAATGTAACTAATGAAATTTTGACTCTTAACTTGTTTTTATGCTTAATAAATATGCTGTGTCAGACATACTAGTCGGCGACGCGATGCCATGTTTTAACTTATCTAGTTAGCTTGAGCGATCACACGATGGAATTTAAGTTATCTTAACATATTCTCCCAAAATATGATCACGCATTTATTAAAATCGAGGAACATTTAGTTAGCTTTTGTTTTGATTGCAGGTTGGTTGGCATGGAGAAAAAAGTGTTGCTCATCATCTTAGGTTATCTGATTGACTTGTAGATATTTTAAATTATTATGACTGTTTTTCTTTCTTTTTTTCCCATTTTTATTTTCCTTCTTGCTTATTTTAGAGGCCTGGGCTTGAATTGAAACGCATTTGCGGATCTTCACACACACTCACATGTTTCCCTTCTTACGAGGATATAGTCAACAATAGTAGAATTAAAATAGGAATCGAAAAGGAAATAAATACAATGGCTAAGTGGTTATTTTGATCAAGATGATGCAATGCAGGACACAGAGATATGGGTGGCATGAATGAGAGTAGCAGCAAAAGAATAAGTGATAAAAGTGCAGAATAGTTGAAGTTGGTGATCAATATTGATTCTCATTTTATGCATCTAGGGTATGTTAACATGCATGATGAACAGCGTATTTATAGTATCCCCGTAACAAAAGTGAAAGGTGTTGTCTAATAACCAATTTTACTTTTATGAGCCGAAATAGTAGTCTTTATTTTATCTCCAACACTTATCTCTTCTGAAAGTGCTGGGGGTTTAAATGATGGAAAATTGCTACCAAGTAAAAGGATAAATGCACCCAAATGCTGTGCTTGAATTTTAAATTCAGTTTCAAGTTCCTGTTCAAAAGATTAAAGAATTAGTTATATTGTATTTGTAAAATAGAAAGGAGGGATGGCATGTAATGCATACCCTCTTTTTAGGGTACTCGTGAATCTGACTTTAATGAAACTTTCTCAACATTTCTTACACGAGACTTTTTATCATAAATTTAACTATAAAATTAGTTAAAATAAACTAAAAAACCTGATATATTTTACTAAAGAACTTATTAAAGTAAGTTAATGAAGATTTTTAAGTGTGAAAAGTAATTTCATAAGCCTAAATAAGTTATAAACTACATCATGTTTTTGTTTCATATACTTTCTCGTATTGATGGATTCAAAGCATTGATGATCCATTTTTCTGACCCCATGTCCAATTAGTATAATTTTTTATGTGGTTTTGTTTCCTAGTCTTCGGCCCCTCGTTTTGATGACTGATCTCTTTCTTTCGATGAGCTGTGTGCCTTATTCAACTTGGCCTTATTTCATCAAGACTATTTATTGTCATTTAGGCTCAAAAAATATAAATGTCAATTTACATTCAATGTCAATGTAACATATATATTTAAGGTTGCATCATAATGATTCTAATTTATGTTTTGATGTTTTCAAACTAATGGTTATAATTCATGGACCAATACTGTGTCATGGCTTGAATGTCAATTTACTAAAGAAACTGACAATAGGAGAGCCTTAGTTGGTGCAATTATAGTGTCCGCATTTATCTAAGTAAGGAAAAGAGTATTGCAAAGAAATCAAATTTGAGCAAAGATGAAAAGGAAAAGGGGGGCGGCAAGGGGAAGGAGATATAGATCATGAATGGGGGGAAATAGGTGGGAGCAATGCATTTTGGTTGAGAAATAGGTATAAGAAGGCGAAATGCAAAGATATAGATCATGAACATAGAAGCAATTGGCAAAGGAGGGGATAAAATGGGTGGAAAAAAGAGTTGAGCATTTATCATCTGACGTAATATCTCCCACATTATTCTCAACCGTCTCAATTACTCTTGCATTTATGTGATTTAAATGGCCTTAATAGAATGGCCTTTTTTTTTCAATGCTCGGAACTACCCACCCCACCCCCTACCATCCCTTGATTCACTTATCCCTCTTCTCCTAACCCAAATTAATAAAATTTTCTTATATTACACGACATGCGACTTTCACGCCATTGCTCTCATTATACTCGTGGATACTTGAAATTTGTAACATGGAAGTTGCAAATATCCCTTTTTTTAATCAACGCATTATAGTCATACTAAAACTCTCCCTTGAGTTATTATATTCGATCATGTCAAGGGTTCTGAATCAAATTAGAAAATTAATCTTTCAAATGATGGCATAAATATTAACCATTAGATATTAGATACTATCCCCAATTGTTAGCAAGCAATCTACAAGAAAGTCAACCAGCCCATTTAACTACCGCAATTAGGTGCCAACCATTGTTCTTAAATTTCAACTCACGCCTTATTTTTATAATTCTTTTTTCAAGGGTAGTTTAATTTCGCTAGAGGTAAGTGCAGTAGATGGAGGAGTAAACGTGGGTTTGGTGGGCCTTAACTTTCAACCCATTTAAATTGTTACCCAAGTACAGAGGATCTACATACACACTGTCACACAGGTTTGCTTTTGTTGCCGCTATTTTTATTGGTCTCTCTTTACTTTTTATGGTGGTTAACATAAAAAATAACAGCATGTGTGCTCGGTTGGATGAAACAGTAACATTAACATCATCGATACAGAGAGAAGAGTGAAGGAAAACTAAGTTTGATTTCACCTTAAATTTCAACAAGCAAACTAAGAGGGCACCTGAGGTTAAGCCCTATTACACTTTAACTGCTAAAGAGCATCAAATCTGAACCCAACCCCAGCTCCTATATTACATAGATACCTAACATTCCGGAATTTCCCAGTAATTTTTTTTTCTATATATGATTAGAATAGTGCTATTTACGCTCCACTCTCTGTCTCTCTCTCTCTCTGTCTCTGCATCCCCTGCTTTGACAAAATTGTTGGGATTTCCTCAACGAAAGTAGAGGAAAGAAGGTAAAAATGGAGCGCACGTAGCACTACTCATAGAAAGGGCAAAATAGTTAAAATAGGAAAAAAAGAAAGAAAAAGAGATTCCTAGGATTAAAAGCTAATATAATATGTCCTACTATTAGGAAGGGCAATAGAAACAGAGCTAGAAACGGGGATCCTTGCTCTAACTCCTCCTAATGGTGGGGTTTTTGTTGTCATGGAGGAAATCAAGCAAAACTGTGCTTTTGCATTTGGGGCACTTCGGATCATCCTCAGAGAGCATCACGTACATGAGGCAGCGAGGGCAACCTACAAGCACCATGGAAGTGGCTTCAGGGCTGTTAGAGTATTTTGGGTTTTCCTCTGCGTTCAGCTCCGACGACACGCAAGAGCTTGGCGGCGATGTCGGCGACACCGTCGCCGATCGTGTCGGCGACGCCAGTCTCCGGTCAACCCTCGGTGGGGATAGGTTCAGCTTCAAGTCAAGCTTTGGACCACTTCCATTCCTGCGACTCATGGCTTCTCTCTGTTTTCTGCAGAGCATGAGACAAACCATTTACCACAAAAGAAAAAAAAAAGATAGATTAAATAAAGAAGAAACAAAAGGGTCTAATTCTTGAGAAAATTGAAATTAAGGGAAGGAGAAAAGTGATGATCTTGATCACTCACTGGGTTAAGGCTTGAGGAGCAAGAGCTTTGGAAGAGAGAAGGGATAATCAGAAAGAGAGTGACAAGGGTGGAACCATAACAAGGTGCTTCCACCAGCAAAGTGTTGGTGATCTGTGTTGCTGTGAGGATGGATGGAGGTTCAGGGCCATTTTATACAAGGAAAATGAAGGGGAGTGATTTAAAGCTTAATTTAATTGAGGGAGAGAGGTGGAGGGGGTAGGGGGTAGAGAGAGAAAGAGTGGGAGGGAGGAGAGAGGAGAGAGAAAGAGAGGGATGGAATTGAATTGAATTGAATTGAAGTATTGGGTAGAAGAAGAGTGTAAATTGAGGCCAGGAAATGTATTAATTGTTTGGAAAAATCCCAAGAAGTATGCAGGAAGGGGAAATTTGGAGTAAATATTGCAATTACAAAGTGCAGAAGGAGGGCCTTTCTTCATTCATTGCTTAAGGGAGAGTCGGTGTTTTAAGTCTCAGAGCAACACAGCACAAGAGAAATCCAACGGCTTTTAAAGCTAAACCCCTTATTTAAAAATCCAACCCCTCACCAACAAAATTTAATACCAAGTAGTAAGCACCAGTTATTATTATTACTATTTTTTCAAAATAAATAAATAAATAAATTTATAACAATGAATTAGATCCAAATGTAACAGCCATGCCTAATTTTAATTATTCAACAGTGCCCCCCAAGAAAAGGAAAGCATACTAAATGAAATGACAATGGTCAATGGGAGCTAGATGACTACACGACACCCTCGTTAGATGAAATGAAAATAAACGTATATCTTATATTAGTTTTATGTTTAAAATACTTACAATGTGACACATTGGACCTTTTCTATGGCTGCATGTAGCATTAGCATGTAGAAAGCACCTCCTTCATCTAAATCTGATCTTGCTGAGGGAAATAAAAATGAGGAAATTAAAACCCTCCTTTGGAATTGAGGTGTTATGGCTAGGCAAGGACTCATGATGCTTCTGCCGTAGAATTTTTCATGTTCTGAGTTTGTGTGCATTTTCGAGGACTAAGTTAAGTTCTTACTTTGGAAAGTACAACCGATGTCCATCGTCCAACAGACATTACAGGATCTCTTTTGTGTTATCATCACGGCACCAGTGATTCTTCTGAAGACATTATTGTCACCATTAAAACCGAAGTAAAGAATGCTTTCTGTCATGAACTTGATTCATGATTTGACAATGCAACGACAGAGGCGGGGAGAGAGCTGTGGAACATTTACTAAACTCCATTTTTTCCTGTTTCTTTTGCTTTGCTTTGTCAAAGATTGTCTTGTAATTTGTAGCTTTTCCTCCATGCAAGCATGTACTCAACTATAAGATTTACACATTTTCATGCTCTATTTGATGTCTCAAACTCAATCAATATTTTTTTCAATGAATTATGATTACAGTCTTAGACCAACAAAAAAAAAGTTCCCTTCGTTTAAAATTTTGAATGGCTTTTGGCTTAATTGTTATTGTCAGATTATTTCAAAAAGAGAGAATAGTTATTGGCTTAAACGTTGACAGAAGTTTGTCACTGTAAATAAATTAATGGATTCAACACACACAAAAAAAACTATGACCCAATTAATTATATTCTAAGTGTGTGTTTGATTTTTTTTATATAAAAATACCTGTGTATTTTTGTTAACTTTTTAAAAATGCATTAAATAATCAGATTCAGAAGTTATAAAAAATATTTGTTTAATGTGTCTAGAAATACACAATAAAAATTAATGCATAGTAAATATATTTACAATATAATAAAGTTTAATGGACCAATAATATTAAAGTATTTAATAAAGAGGTTATTATTATTTTTTATTTATTAACACGTATATCTGAGTACAAGCTAAAAAAAAGTTACCACAAATACGTAGTTGGCATGATTCTTAACTAAGAGGTCATGGAGACACAAATTAAAGCTGTCAATTAATAAAAGACAAAAAAGTGAAAGGTTATTGCATGTGAAGTGTTGTGATTACTCTATCATTAATTATTAATATTTGAAAAGAAAAGAAAAAAGGCTAGGTCAAAGAAATGATGAAATCTGGTGAATGGAGAAAATCGATTGTAAAGGTGCAGTATCATTTTCCAAATGTAGAATATTTTGGTCAACGTGGCATAGGTTCATGGAACATGCTTTAAATGATGTGTTTCTACTTACTATAAATAGACACCCCTTTGTTTAAAATTCAGCATCTCATGGATGACATACAGATAAGAGTAAGAAGGATACATATACATATCTGTCTGAAATACTTAACATTAGAATTGAACAAATCAGCGACGCTTAGAAAAAAGATAAATAAATAACTCTCTTGTCACTTTCGGTGATATCTGTAGAATTATTCCACCTATTCACTACTTCTATGCACGACTTTATTGATTCGTTTATTTTTCAAATAATAAATACTAATGTTTTAAAAGTCCAAAAAATAAATTAATTGTTATTTAGGAAGTGTGAGAGTACGAAACATAAGAGGCAAAATGCATATTAAGAAAGGATCTTATTAACAAGTAATGTGAGTAATGAACAAGCATGTAAAATTGGATATTAAAGTTTCAAATTCACTTATTAAAAATAGAAGGTACCCAATTTAACTTCTTTCTATAAATAAATTATTTTAAAATTTTAAATTAGTTTGACTAATTTTTTCTTTGTTTAGACTATAGTAAATCCAACTCAATTAAACTACAATAACTCTCTACTAATATTAATTGCTCTACGTATTTAATAATAAATATTCTAATTTATTTATTTATATTATTTTTCATTTTTTAAATTTAATGATAAATATTTTTGTGTTACAAAGTAAATAATTATTATTATTATTATATTTTTTATATTTATAAAAATTACTTACAATTATCCAATGTATGTAATCTTCATACATATAAAAAAACAAAATATTTATAACTAAGAGTATATCAATAAATATATTTATGAGATAAGATCTTCTTACATCGATATAAATCTAAAATTTTTTATACTTAATCTAAATTTTTTATTTAATTTAAATTTAACGGTTTAAATTTTTTATTTTACTAGCTGTTAGATTTAAGTTAAATAAAAAATTTAAATTGAATATAAATTTTTTTATATTTACATTAGTATAAGAAGATATTTTCTATATATATATATATATATATATTCTGTATAACTCCACCGTAACAAACTTTACTATATTTATTGAATATATTTTTTATAAAACATTAATTATAAAATTCATAAACTTAATATAAAAAAATCATTAAAAAAATTCCTTAATCTTTGTGCTTTAATATTAAATGACAGATAAAATAATATGCTTTCTATATATTCTTAAAAAAAATTTCTTTTCTAAAAATTTAAGACATCAATCTTAATTATTTTTTAAATTATACTCTATCTCTATCTAATTTTCAAACAAATTTTTAATTATTATAAATAATGGAGAAATATTAATAAATTCATATCAAAAAGTTAAAAATATTGTAAATCCATATGGAGTCATATACTACTTTGTTTTTAAAAGATAAACACGTAAAAAGAAATGAAGGTAAAAACAATTGTTAATCTTAATTATCAAAGTTAAGTTCAGAATAGATTTATACTGTTGTATAGGTGTTATCAGTGATATATATTATTTAAAATTAGCTATTTTATTATTATATCTGTATTTAACGTATAACATGTTACTGAAATAAAAATTTATTTTTATTAATAAATAAAAAAAATTATATTTAAAATTTGTCATTTTTTTGCTATTTAAAAAATTATAATTTAAGTAATTAATAATAATAAAATTTCATTTAAATTAAAAGTATTTAGTACATTAGAGATTTAAAAGTGTAATAAATATTTTTATTTATAGTAAAATGTTACTAATTAAAATCTAATATAATATTTTTAAAAATATATGTGTAGTAATATTTTTTAAGTTTTATATTAAAAAATAAAAAGACATAAAATTTTTAATAATATTAAATATTATAATTATTAAAAAATAGTTATTTAATGTCTTAATAAGTACATGTTAAAAAATAAATAAAAATTGAAGAGTTTCAAACGACATTTATAATACATGAAAACATTTAATAAATTTGAAATCCTCTACACATAGCGTAGTCAATTTTATTAAATGAAGCATTAAACATGACTCGCCGACAATAAAGAGATATTATCATATTATGACACTAGTGAATTGAAATCAAAAGTATATTAATATTAATTTTATTTATAAAAATAATTATTATATTTTTTTATAACACAAATTTCACATTTTTAAATATATTAAATATTAATTTTTTTTGCTAAACTATTTAATATTAATTTTTATACTTTTATTTATTGTAAAAATTATATTATTGAAGTACATACTCATCACTCATATATAAAATATCAATTATGTGCATTCATAACTTTAAAATAAACAAGTTCACAATAATAAAAAAGAGAATAAATAAAAGAATATAATAGAATAATGTTAAAAAATATACTTGAAATTTTATGTTTAAAACGTGCTTGGTAAAATTAGTAAAAAACTAATTGATTTAATTGATAAATTGATACAATTAATTATTAAATTAATTAATAAATATAAAATAACAATAAACATTTAATTGATTATTTGACTAAACTTTTAATTTCATAATTATAAAATAATTAGTATATTATAATTATAATTTAATTTGACCGTGAGATATAAAATTCATGTGATATTTTGTAAATAAAAAATAAGAAATTTTGACTTTATTTACCTGATTAACCTTTCTATTATAAATGAAAATTTATTAATAAAGAAGTAAAATATTTATTATAAATATTATTTTTATAATTCATCACGTATACATTTTAATAGTAAAATTAACTAATGATATGAAAATTATATTTTCTTATTATAGTAGTTTGTCTTTTAATTATATATTTGTTAATTTTCTTTGAAATTTTAGATATTAAAACTGTTAGTTAATTTTTTAATTTTATGTATTTTTTAATTCTTAGTTTTATATTTATAAATTTTGTCTTCTTTAATTTAAATTTTATTTTTAATATTTTTATCTCTTAATTTAATTAATAATTTAAAAATATTTTACAATAAAATTATTATTTTTAAAAATTACATTTTAAAAGTTTATAATTTTTTTCGTTTTAATTCATATTTTTTCTATTTATTTTTTAATTATTAAATTATACATATATTTATTTTAAAATAAAATATATATGCATCTCAGTGCCTCTGCATTTTCAGCTATGAAATTTAAGTCAACG